CGCGTCCCCGTCCCGGCGCCGCCGGGTCCCGCGCCGGCTGCGGGTGCTGGCGGGACTCTGCTCGCCTCGCCCCCGCGGCGCCGCGTCCCTCCCGCGCGGCAGAGCGGTGTTGGCAGCCGGCGGAAGGCTCACGGGGTGCGAAAATACTCGTGAAGGACCGACCGGTAGATTCTCGCTGGAGCCATTGTCTGCCCCACGTGTAGGCCTTAGTAAGGTTTCGTTTTGCTCCTATACGCGATTCCTCACCGGCCGAAAGCCGCAAGGTAATGTAAACAAAGAAGCGAGGTGAAAACTTGGAGCCAGGTCGTCAGTGTAACGATTCACCACGTCCGGTTCATTCTGTAGCGTATAAACCACTTTTTTCTAAAAGGGTTTAATGGCCATTTACACGTGAGGGAGGATAATTAACCAGACAGTTTACTAGCAGTGACCTGCTTCCGCTGATGGGTGGTGCTGGTATTAACAACTCTGCGTTACCCATCATGCATGTGGTAGCCTAATTTGTGCAGGGATAGGCAATTGCAGTGTTGAAATAGCGTTAAGAGGTGGAAAGCATGCGGTGAGAAGATACTGCTGTATACCGAACACAATCGAGTAGAATTTTTTTTTTTTTTTACTAAATTCTCCTAAAGGTATCCGTGTTCTGTAAGAATGAGAAACTGATAGCGGTTTTCCACTTGAATAACCTGCACTGCTCAATATTAATTGCTATGAATTAGACTTATGGAGTGTAAAGTTTCCAACTGCCTGCAATGGCAAGAAGTTCATCTATATCTTATTGTCAGTGAGAGGTCACATGGATGCTTTATTAATCTGGTATTTTAACCTGTATATAACAGTATAGGAAAGTGAAAATAAATAGGTAACAGCTTAGTCAAAAGGGGTTGAGAGAACAGGCTTTAACACTGATTAGTTAAATTAACTTTTATTCAAGTTATAATATTGTTTTAGTGCAGACCTTGATTCTGGATCTGTTTCTGATTAAATAAATAAAAAGGTAGCTTCCTTTTGGGCCATGGGTGGTCTAAAGAATCGCTCTAAACTGGAATGCTGTTATCAGCAAGGACGTGAGCGCTCTCTCTTTTTAAAGACCGCCACGCAAGCTCCTTTTTTCCTGATTAGATAATATTATGTAGGTTTTCAGTTTAGTGTTCTGTGGGTTTTTTTTTTTTTTTTGTTGGTTAGACTCCTTAAAATATGTGGGGAAAATCCTTTTTTGTTACATATGTAGGTTTGTGGAAGATTATGCTTTGTTACTGATGGGTAATTTGTTCTATAAGACCTATGATTTTTGTTCTCTGCACTTACTGTGGTTTAGAATATTTGGCTTGTAATATCAGTGCACTATTTTTGTTTAATTAGTTCCTTATAAAACTTTATTTTTTGATTGCATGCAGAAATATGGAGTATTTCAAGATAATCAGTAAAGAGAAGTAACTGTGCAGATACAAAAAAGGAATCTTACTTGTTCCAGTACAAAATGGAAAGTTGTGATCTCTGTAAAGCTTTGTGTGTAAAGCTCTCTTAATGTCGTTCTAAAGAGCTAATTTAGATGCTCAGTTCTACAGAACTAGAGCTTTTGAAAAATGCACTGTTAAGAACCAGTGTTGCAGTTGTTTGCGGTTGCATTGCTGTAGCTTTTTTAATGTGTATAATTAAAAAAATAAAAGACTGTATACCATGTAATTTATTAATATCTGTCCCCTGATTGTTACTGGGGGCGTTGAGGTGGAGTGGGGGAAGAGTTGAGGTCTTTACTGTCAAAAACTCAAACTGTAGGAAAAGTCTCTGCCTGGCCTGTTATTTGCTTTGATCCTCTAAAGTATAAGCAAAACAGATTAAATACTGCTGTAGAAAAAGTAATGGTCCTGAGAGTCAAAGTACTGGTCAAAAAAAAGCACTTTCTGAAAAATCTCATCTGGAGATTTGGCTGTACTCATTCCTCCTACCGTTTTAGAACAATGAAATTAAATAAAAGCAATCATCTGTACATTTCTGCGCATGTAACTCATACTTAGTTCAAAGTGAGATGAAATCTTCCATTATTGGTAGGTAAGGAAGAATAAAGTGATTATTGTGAGGATTGACTAATAGGGTTGAATGAGAAGCTGAGGCAGCCATTTTGTTGTTAATGTATTGCTGTGATAGGTGAAAGACAACGGGTTGAAACTTAAATTGTCATATTGTAGGTTTTGAGTGGGTTCTGTAGAGTAAGTAATTTTAATGAAAGTCCAGTGTGATTCTTCCTGTAAGTTAATTAAGATAAGCAGGAAAACTAGTTCTAGCTATTGTGTGCTGCAGTTATATTTAAATCCAAGTGTATTTAATTTATGCATATAGCAATGTCAAATTTTTTTATGTACCATTTCAATGTATGAGTGATTTCAAAACACTCATTTTCTCACTTTGCTTTATTAGGGTTTTAGTCCTTTCTGGAGATACTACTTGAGTTTCTCAGAAAAGAACTGATGAATCAAAATTGAAACTAAGTTTGTACCTCTTTCAACTAGGCATATCGAAAGCTGGCCAAGGAATACCATCCTGATAAGAATCCAAATGCAGGGGACAAAGTAAGACTTTTTTTTTTTTTTTAAACTGCTGAAGTTTACTATTACAGTAGCATCTAAGAGACCAAAGACAGGTGTTGGGGGATTGCTGTTACAAGTTGTTAAAAAATAATAACTGTGAGAGGGAACCCTGTCTTGTCTACTTCTTCCCAATCTCAAAATCTACCAGTGTACCTCATGAAAAAATGCAGCAGTTGACTGAGTCAAATTGGTTGAGAAGGTAATGCTAAGGGAAAAACCGCCTCTCTTCATCTGCAGAGATGGTGTCAGCTGGCATTGGCATCTACATCGGTATTTGAAAAAGTCAGTTTTCCAAGTTTTTCCAACATGGAAAAATATGTGTGGAGGTTCTTGAAAGTGTTGCAGCATAAAACAAATTACATACGTGGGAATGTTGTATTAGATTTGTTATGCATTAACAATTAAAAAATGTCGATTAAGTTGACTCAGCTGATTGTCTGTAACAGAACTGAAGTTCTAATGGTTGCTTAGAGGTGAGCAGAGATGACTATGAAAAGGTATTAATTTGTTTTGAGGACAAACACCTTAATATGCATTTTGATAAGTTGCTCAATTGTTAGCGTATTTTAAGTGCCTAACATATCTTGAAGTCTTTGCTATTAGTATGTAACTGGGGTTTTTTTGCCTGTTGGCTACTGCAGTATTTTGTACTTGGGGGTTTTCTTCTTTGGTTGGTTTTTTGTTTTTAAGAAAACTGTCTTGGGCTAGGCACAGTAAAGAACAAAGTCAATTAAGTTTTGCAATAAAACGTCATATTTTATGATAAGGGGTAACACAGCTAAGCCCAAGTCTGACTTTTAAGTCTTGCATACTAGAATGAGGGTGGAAAACTGTTCTGTTGTGTACCTTCTTAATTGGGTGTTCATGCTGGGTAAGAAACAGTAGTAAAATGCTCCCTTGAAGTTATAAATTATCATGCACTGTTTTGACTCTGTTCCTCTTCTAGTTCAAAGAAATAAGCTTTGCCTATGAAGTATTGTCAAATCCAGAGAAACGTGAGTTATATGATAGATATGGAGAACAGGGTCTTCGAGAAGGTAGCGGTGGAAGCAGTGGAATGGACGATATTTTCTCCCATATCTTTGGTGGTGGATTGTTCAATTTCATGGGTGGTCAGAGTAGAAGTCGTAATGGTAGAAGAAGAGGAGAAGATATGATGCATCCACTCAAGTGAGTATCTTGATAATGCGATTTGTACTTTCAGGCTTTCCTGATCAGTACTTGACTCTTCTAGTTTATGTTTGTAATATGCTTCTTGGTTGAGATACTCTGCGGTCTGCACCTGCTTTTCAGACCTGTGTGTCGTGTGTAGCCCAGAAGGCAGTCATCTCGAGTTACTTTTCATGATTGGTTAATCTTACGTACTATCTCATACTTTGCTTTGCCTGTTTATTAGCCTGTATATACTTTGTTAGCATTACTTTCCTTGGTTTTGCTCCTTAATTATGTTTGGAAGTTCTAATCTGAAAAAGCATTCAACAACTGAGTATTACTCATTAGCTGGATTCTCAGGGAAGCAGAGGTACTAAGGCTCTGGAAAGACTTAAGTTGACTTGCATTCATAGTGCAATACCAACTGGAACTAGTTGAACTGCATAATTAATGGAAAAGTGCGTGTGGTGGGTTTGGTTTTAGTTTTGGGGTTTTTTTTTTGTTTGTTTGTTTTTAAAGGCATGCTTGAATATCACATCTAATTGTGTTTTGTAGATCCCTGCTTGCAGTAATGACTGGCTTTGTACCTGCTGAGCAGGTGCTTTCTAAGTTCTTAAGTTAAGCTGCATCTTTCCTGTGGTTGGCAAACCATGCTTAGTAAAGTCTGTTTACTTTTACATGCTTGCTTTGTTTAGTAGCTAGTGCTGCATGCTATATTATTAATTAGCTTTGGTTTTGTTGTTATTTGTAAACACTGATGCCAGGCAACCTTTTCTCAATACACTGAGTTGAAATCTCTATCCACTAACAAACCCTTTTAGGAGAAAGACTAAATGTGTTCATAATTTCTATCAATAGATGAAGGTTATTGGAGTTTGATAGTGTATTCAAGAGCTTCTAAAAAAAATTGAAACACGAATAAATCTAAATCATTAAGTGGCCTTGGGGACATGCTAACCCCTCCCCACTAAACTATCTCGTGTGGAAAGCCCAATACAGTAGTAAGAATTCTGTATGTATTCTTACATATGCATGCTATAAATATTGTCAGGACAGTCTGGAGAGGTTTGTTTCTCACCTGCCTGGTAGAACAAAAAAAAATAATCCACTATGACTGTAAAATAAAACCTAAAATGCTAGATCAGCTTGTTTCCTGTTGAGAAACACAAGCAATCCTATCTGTTTTTTTCTGACTAAATTGTAGCTTTGCTCTGAAACTATGTTCCAATATTACACATGTATATTCATATGTATGGAATAGTTTTTAATGACTCCTTGTGAAAGCAAAAATGGTGCTTTAAAATCTTATTTTAATAGCAGATTTAGTCTTCTTATGAAGATCTGTTTTTCTTTAATTTGTCCTAGGCAAGTATTTTAATTACATGGTGAAAGTAAGTTGTTAAATGATAACCCAGGAGAAATGCTTTGTTTTGTAGAGTCTCTTTAGAAGATCTGTATAATGGAAAGACAACTAAACTACAGCTTAGCAAGAATGTCCTTTGTAGTGCATGTAATGGGTAAGTTTGCTTATATTTTTGAGTTCTCTGGTTGCTTGTTGGCATATAGTGTAATGAAGCATCTCTTATGTCAGATCTTTATCAGTATTTGACTTACTGGAGCCTGCTTTCAGACTAGAAAATCGTTGAACTTGAATGATACTGTTGATGGAACTGAACTATTCAAGGGCTTTGTTTGGGGGGAAAAGGGAGAGGAAAGAACCTAACTATAATTGGCAGTGTGATTAGGAATGTTAACCTACTGATGTAGGGGTTTTTTTGTCGTACGTTTCTGAAAAACTTGTTTTTCATGCAACTGGTGCTTGCTATTCTAGGCAGGGAGGGAAGGCTGGAGCTGTTCAGAAATGTAATGCTTGCCGGGGTAGAGGTGTACGTATCATGATCAGACAGCTGGCTCCTGGAATGGTTCAGCAGATGCAGTCCGTATGCTCTGACTGCAACGGAGAAGGTAGGCCAAGCTATTCTGTGTTACTAAATGCATTTAGTTGGATTCAACCTCCTGGTTAAATCTCAGGAGGAACTTATCCAGGATAATTTTGCTCCCACCTAGTCGGGTCTCAATCTGCTGTCAACATGGAGAAATCATTTTACTTGGAACAGCAAGATTTACAGTGTTTAATGTACTGAAAAGCAGCCTGGAAGCTTGAGCAGTAGGGATTGATTGTTTTTAAAAACACTTAGATGTGAATATTACTTATTGCTATTACTCTTGTGTTAAAGTAAAAACCAAGATTTTGTTGTTTTAGGAGCTTTTTGTCTTTTTTGCAGTCTCCTAATGTGTCCAAGGACAGGTTTAGGTTAAAATCCAACTTTAGGTTTCCATTTTTAACTACTTCAAATTAGGAAGATATGTTTTGCTGAATTGGTTGTGTTTGGGGGAACAAGTTCAGCACAAGATCTGCACTTCATGTGATTCCTTTTTAGATCTTATGCAGTTTCCAGAGTAGTAACATCACCTTGTGGATGTTTTTATTCTTCTCGATACTTGGGAATTAGAGAGTTGTATTTTGTGACTAGTCAAAACATTTCATAAATGATGTTGTCTTTGAATATATTGTTTTCACAGTTTACATACCTAACCTACCTATTCAGTAGTTTCAACTATGTCATAATGTTATACTTTGTTTCACAGAAAGGTCCTTTAAGCTGGCAAGTTTAATGTCTTAAGCCAAGTGCATGTGGCCTAATGTTTTGGTTAGCCTGTACAAAGACAACAGCTTACTTGAAAAATAAAGATTAAGTGGAACAGAGAATTTAAGCTGTTTTGGATAGTCATCCTTCAGTTCACCCTTGCTAGAGGTGATGGACAATGTGGAAAAACTATTCAGTTTAAGAGTATAAAAGTGAAATCCCTTATGTGTCAGAAAAAGTTAGATCCTTTCCATGGGAAAACCTATGTATTGCTCTTGCTTGAAACTGTGATTTGACCAGCTATCTTCCCCCCATTTTGTATGCAAGACTCTCTAGTTCTACTGGCTTCATTTACATAGTACTTTGTTGTGGTGGCACATTGTAAAATGTGGCTGTCAACAGAACCCAGTAGTCCTTTTTTCATTGTTGTTAACAGAAGTGGAACTAAGCTTCCTAAATTCACTGAAATAGTTTGAAAATTGTATTCTGACTTTTAAAGGAGGGGACATGCTTCAGTTTGGTTTTAGCTTCATCCTTTCTCTTATAGCTTTCATCCTCCAGCATAACAAGGAATGGAGAAGGCTTTTTTTTTTAAGAGTAGTAAGTCGAGTGGTAAGGATACAGGAGACAACACTTAAGGAATGGTAGAAGCTATAGACAAAGTCTTGTTTTGCCTTTCTCTAAAGCACTCTTGAAAATCCTTGATAAGACAGCTTAGAAGGTTATGTGTACCTTTGCATTCCCTGCCTTGCCCAGCCTCCCCCTCCTTTTTTTTTTTTTGTCTTCCCCCCTCTTCTAGCTAGGGTAAATTAAGCCTTTTCTCTTGTGAGGAATTCATAAAGCAATATCTAAATCACTAGTTGTGTTGCATGTATTCTTCAGCTTACTTTAAAATAGTTTTTCTTCAGAATCTGATGCAATTATGAGGAAATCTCTGAACTCAAAATTTGTCTTTCTTTAGGTGAAGTAATTAATGAAAAAGACCGCTGTAAAAAATGTGAAGGGAAGAAGGTGATCAAAGAGGTAAAAATACTTGAAGTCCATGTAGACAAAGGCATGAAACATGGGCAAAGAATTACATTCAGTGGAGAAGCAGATCAGGCTCCAGGTGTGGAACCAGGAGATATTGTCCTCTTACTCCAAGAAAAGGAGAATGAGGTAATGCTTTTGAGTTTATATTTTAAATGCCTTTTATCCTAGTCTTTCATATTTAAGTGATATAGATGGCTGTTCATTTTAAAGTAATTCATATAGCTGCAGCTCTGGGAGATATGGTAAATAGCTTTTAATAGATTTATAGCAAGTAACATGGCTTTCATGGTGAGCCAGAAAAAACTTTGCAAGTCTGTAGCCAGAGGACATGCAGATTCTGGTGTTTCCTAATGCTAATAAAAGGCAGCTTTCTCAGGTAAGCTCAGGCTAACTTTGATATAGTGGATGCAGTGAAGAGCCATTCAGGATGTTAACTTCAATCTGCTTTGATTGTGACACTAACAAAATGCTAGGTGTTGCTTTTTTACCAATGTCTTGTGACATGGCAGGGAACTCCTATTAAAATCCCCAGATAGTGCTTTCTATCTTTGCTACTGTGGTTGTGGAAATGTAACACAGAATGCTGATGTTACTGATTCATTTGACAAAACTAACACACATGAGTATTTTATACTAGTTTGTTAAGGCTTATGCCTACTGTATTCTGGAGTATATACATTCCATTTTGCATTAAATATTGTAATTTATCTTTTTCTGTGTTAAAACTCCCTTAGGCCAGAGTTGAGGTGACTGCTTCTTTTTTTGAATGCTTTTGTTTAGAAAGGCCAGGTATTACTATGATGAAAGAAGAAATAGTGTGTTATACTCTGGAAAAAATGTTGAATGGAATGGTGGTGGTGCGGGAAGTTCTGTTGTGACATAAAGAATAGCATTTGGTACAAATTTCAATTCCAGTCACATATTAAGGACATAATGTTGGTTATCTGAAAATTAGGTACTTTGTAAGCTTTTCAAAGCTGTGTCAAGGACTGCTAATTTGTCAATCAGTTTTGCATAGCTCTACACGTTCCTCTCTTCCTTCTTCTGTAATACTGGTTGAAACGTAGCATCGCAGTTGATTTTGACTATGATAAGGGAGAAGGAGTCTGTAAGCATACAGAACAGTCAGATGTGCATGATGGCATCAGATTCCAGGTGGTGGATGCCACTTCTGTCTTAGTCTTCTAACGAACTACATCTATTTTTACAGTATTAACAATTCTGACAATTACTGTACCTTGTGTCCTACTGAGTAAAACTAGACTGACTTCTAGTGAAGATTTTAAGTTCTTAAAATTTCCCTTGAGGTGGGAGTTGTAGTTCTGCCAGTGGCTAAAGCTTACATTTACTCTGATGAAGAATTGTGAGTGATACAGCTTAAAGATCACTTATGACTGCTATGGACTAATTGATCAAAGCCCTGCTATAGATAAAGTTAGCTGAAGCAGATATGCACAATGACTAGTTAAATGTTGAGAAACAAAGATGTGGTTTTTGTACTCTGGTGCAGGGGAAGTAGTGTCAAACTCTCCTAAGTTTTGTTCATAGGTTGCTTGTGTAGAAGATCTTGGGGATAAGAGAGCACTGCTGCTATACAGGCCGCCTTGTTTAATTTGAACCTTACATCATAGTATATAGTATTGTTTGCCTTATCTTAGATGACACTTCCATCAGGCACAAACTTTCCAAGCATGTTAAGCTATTTGAATTAACAGAATTAAGTTAACTTTGTACAAAGGCTGTTGCTGTGACATTGAATTTTAAGAATAAATAATAATGAATTCTAAATAACGAGTCTTGTGGAGATACAATTATATGACTAGAAAAGATACCTCCTGTTTTTGTTTTTTAGGTCTTCCAGCGGGATGGAAATGACTTGCATATGACGCACAAGATTGGACTTGTTGAAGCACTGTGTGGATTTCAGTTCACATTTAAGCACCTTGATGGACGTCAAATTGTGGTTAAATATCCTCCTGGAAAAGTAATTGAACCAGGTAGACTTGACCTGATAAAGACTTCTTTTGACATTCTTTAACACTTAATCCTTGTTGTCCTGTTAACTGAACCTAGGCTAGAGAAATTAAAGACAATTGCATAGAGAAAGATTTGTTCTGAAGTAGCACTCTCCAGCTTACTTCTCTGAATTACAGGTTGTGTTCGCGTAGTCAGAGGTGAAGGAATGCCACAGTATCGTAATCCTTTTGAGAAGGGGGATCTTTACATTAAATTTGACGTTCAGTTTCCTGAAAATAACTGGATTAGCCCAGAAAAGCTTTCAGTAAGTACTTTTTCAAGCACAAGTGCGGTGGTCTTATTTGACAGTGTGTGCACAGTGTGTGTGTTGTACTTCACATGCTTGCTTTCAGTGCTTAAAGTTAGATGCAAGTACAATTGTTCTTTTTAACATTGTTTATGGCAACACGTAATTTGAAAACACCCATTGGAATATGAATTTATGGAACCTGTATTTAAGAGCTGTGCAGATGTTGGGCAGGAGGAAGTCTTCCTGCTGCTGTGTGATAAGCTTTCAGAGTTCAACTGTACTTACTGATTGCACTTTCGGTTGATGATACATGGAGCTATTTGGTTTTCTTTAAGTGCTGTTGTCCAGTTGATACAAATGCTTTGGATACTTCTAAATGGGTATGCGCTTCAGGGTTTATAGCAGCTTGGACTTGTAAACCGAACCTGCTCTGAGAGGGAGTCTTGAAGTTGTGGGAAACTGGTCACTTTATTTAGCACTTGTAGATGCAGTACTGAATACAGTTCTTTTTTTGGGGCAGGAACTTGAAGATCTTCTGCCAGCTAGACCAGAATTTCCTAATGTAATTGGTGATGCAGAAGAGGTAGATCTTCAGGAATTTGATACCACTCGTGGTTCAGGTGGTGGCCAGAGACGTGAAGCTTATAACGATAGTTCTGATGAAGAAAGCAGCCATCATGGACCTGGGGTACAGTGTGCCCATCAGTAAACGTTTGTCTAAAGTTGCACAAGGATTTTCTTTCAAATTTTGCCTGACTTGTTTTCAACAATCCAGCTGGATTGTATAAGTAATCCAGATGAACCAACGGACATCTATTGCTGTATGTGTAACTTTTAAATTGGTCTATAGTATCTACAGAGTGTAATTTAAACTAACCACAAGCTTACATCTTCATTTTGACTGTGTAGCAGAATAAAGCACTTGAAAGGAAGACAAGACTCCTTTTCACATGGGTTTTAAGTTTGTCCTCGTATCTGTGCTTGATTTTTACCAGTTTTGTGTAGATTTTAAGTTTCATATTTTAAATTCAAATTCTACATTGTAAAGTTTGTGTACAATTTGTCCTGAGGCTTGGTATTTGGCTGCACCTGCATAAGCTGCTACAAGTAGAATAAAGAATTTCATAGCCTGTATCTATCATCTAGATGCATGGTAAATGGGCTTTGCACATAATGGGTTTAGAGCTGACTGGGAACAATGGAAGACTAAATTAGAAGTGGTTGTAAGTTTTTTCTACCATCTTGTGAACGGTTTCTGAAATTAAATAAAAGCAGTTGGTGTATAATATATTTCTTTTTGCCTTGTAACTCTTACTTCTCCAGTGGCTTTATCTATTCTGTGTACGAAGAGACTATGTAGATGGTAGACATTTTATAAATGCAGAGAGGCTGAATCTGCTTTAAGACTAGGTTGCAGTTAGGTAACAATTGTGTGCCACATATAATGGTCTTTTCTTGAAATGAAATGTGACTAAATGGGCACAGGGAAGGCTGCAGCCATGTCCCCTTTGTATGAAGAAAAACAAGGATATGTGAGCTCAATCAGAAGATAACAAAACCTTTTAAATGAAGATGATTAAATCCCAAAGTAATGGTGTCTTTCTCTTAGGCTTTGAATCCAATTCAAAGTCTGATTCAGTCTGACTTCCTAGAGATATGTTTCCAGTTTAAAAAAAAAATCTTTGTAAAAATTAACATTATGCCTGGCAACTTGTGGTTGCATTAACACAGTTTGTAAAGAGACTGAGATTAGTATTGTACTTGACAAATTTTTGAGCTGGAAACATACTACTTTTCTTGTAGTTTGCACTTTTCTAACTATTAGGACATTTAAGTCCCCCAGCTTCAGTTCTGTTCTTTTTTATATGCTTTTAATTGGTAAAAATACCACAACAAAGCAAAAATATGACCTTAAATAATTATCAGGTACTGTTAGTTACCTAAGTGTTTTGTTACATTAAGGAGGTGTGCATGAACTTTGGTTGGTAAGCTGCTTCTTTACAGTGAGGTTTCTCCCCCTGTTGAAGTGAGGAAGTTGAAAGATGCCTCTACTTTTCTTTACAAATCTGAATTTTGTTCAATTACTGCTCAGATAGTTGTTGACAATTTACCAATGAGGTTGGAGGGACAAACTCCCAGGGTTTCCATGTGCTTGGGTAGGCATTGGCATTTGAGTGTTGCTGAACACCCTTGCTACAGACTCTAAAACTGAAGTAAGAATAAATACTGTTTGACCTGTATTTCAGTATTGACTTCTTATGCTGTGGCATTCTCATCTAGAGAATCTTTATTTTCATTTATTAAAATTTCAGGTTGCTTTTCATGAAGCCATGGTTACATACTGATCTTTTCTCCTGATTCAGTTCTCCAAGAAGTCAGTCATCTTAACCTGTAATGCTTAAACAATTGAAACACCTGTCTTCTGCTTTTAAGTAGTAGCTTTAGGATTCACCTCCTTGGAAAACAGAGTATGTACTCTAAACTTTTTATCCCCTTACTTTCAAATTGCTTTTTTCAGGGGGATAGAGGAGGGGATTTGTTGTAACTTTTTGGATAGCATGCTGAAGTGAAGGGGTGGGGGGGAAGTTGATTACTGTATGTAGTGTGAGTTAGTCTTAGTTCTGTTTCAGTCCTGAGACGGCATTGATTTAGGTTCTTGATAACAGCATGTTTCAATGAGTGGTGACTTTGTCACAGTTGCCGTTATATGTATCTCCTGCTCTACTAAGAGGGTATCCCTTTACAAAGTTGTAGTGTAGAAAAACGTCACATAAATTCACAATCTCCACTGTCTTGGTTTCAATATTTAAGTTGCAAGTAATATACTACTATAGTTACTAATGCTTTAGTAGTTTACTGATGACGTTTAATGCTTAACATAGCTATTAATGCTTTAACTAGGCCAATATGACTCTCCTATGAATAATCAAATAAACATTAGTTGAGTGTTCTCAGTAATAAACAGCTGCCACTTAAGTACTTAGTTACTATAAACAAATGAATATTCTGTATGTTGGGGGAAGAAGAAAACATGATCACTAGAACTGCATTAGAACCATTTTTTAGTTGATGCTTTTTTAATATCTTTTAATAATGGCTTCAAGAAGCTGAAAAGAAAAAAAAACTCAGGAAGTCATCTAGCTTATTTTGTGACATACCTATTTCTGCATATACAGTGACTAAAATTGACCTAAAGTTGACTCTTGTAGGAAGTCTTTATCTGTCCTCTTGAGTGTGTCTGATTTACCAAGGTGTTCACAGTGTATATTTATTTGCAAGATGCCAACAGTGGCGTGGTTCCTGTCCCTGTAAAAGATGAGGCTATGTTGCTTTGAAAAATAGGTTTGCAAAGAAGTTAGAAGTAATCAGTAGAAGAAAGATTACTGTTGTTTGAAAAAATGAAACATGCCAAAGACTTATCTGTTATTATGAAGTAATTTCTCATCTCTCTAACTAGGATGTAATAGGAAAATTGTATTTCAGTTGTTAACCCATAACCTTCCACTATAGCCTTAGGCTGATGTAGCTATGACATTCAAATAATCACTGTAAAAGAGGTGTGGGGCATTTAATTATATGCCTCTCTTACCAAATTTAAAAGGAACATTGTAGATATAAATGGAGTTCTGGAGGCTTCCTAGCTTGGTGCCAAGTCATAAAAATGACTTCAGTTGATTGAAGAGTCCTTGTGTTTCATTACAGTGTACAGCCTGTAATTTTGCCCTTTGTGTCAGGGCCTGGAAATACTTTCCCAGTTTATAGCAGTAGCCTTTTAGTCACAAAAAAACCTAATCTCTAAATTGTAACTCAGAAAATACTTTAACAAGAACAGGCTTGATTAAACACTACCAGCTATTTTTGTAATATGACCCCAGTGAGATCCACAACAACGTGTTGGCCTATATTGCAAAGCATGCCTAACACTATAACTTTTCCAAAAATTTGGAAAACTGCAGGTTTCAGTACTGCATTGCAATTTTGGTTACCTTAGTGTAGTATGGGAGTGAATAGTTTTAATCATTCATGTTAAAATGTCCATTTGCCTGCAATAATCAAAAGCTGATACCACACTGATGCAATGTTCTTATAATTTAAGGGAAAATGGATGTTAATTCAGGTTGAACTACTGAGTTACAAAACTAACTATTAAAGTGTTCTGTAAACTTCATGTATAATCTGAATGAGATGTTTATTCCTGTATTTCCTCATTACCAAGCAAGAGCATAGTTTTAATCTAGGTTTGATAGTGTTTTAACTTCATGTTCATTACCAGTTTTGTCTCCCATACCTTGGAAAGTTTCAAATAAGGAAAAAAAGAAAGCTTGTGACCTTTGGTTCCTTAAGTGGAGCAAGGGTAGAAGCAGGACAGAAAAAACCCAAACTAATCTAGATTTCATTCTTAAACTAATGGTTTAGTTTAAAGAGTGTAGGAGTCTTTTGCACCATCCTTTACCACAGTGAAAACACTTTAATTGAAATCACACTGGCAGATTAAAAGCCAAGTGCATCCTGAAGTTCTGAAAATACTAGAGTACCCACAGCAGAGTGACTGCTGGACTGGCATCTTTACCTGCAAGGATGTTAAAAGCCTTTCGTACAAGTTACTCAAAAGTACTAGAAAAATGGGGGTGAGACCACAAATTACAGTAAGTCTGGATTACTACCTGTTGTCTTGCACATTACTGTCATGTCACAGCACAGAACTGGAAGTAAGTTCTATTTCTGTGTCAGGTTTATATATACTACCACAGAACTAAAGTTACATGCCTTAAAATACTATTCAAGAATTTAGAAACTTGCACTTCAGCTTAATTCCAGAGTTAGATTCAAGGGAAGTGATACTGGGGAGACCAACACTACATTCTGCTAGTGGCATGCATAGAAGAACCTCTATATTTATCAATAGTTATGTAAAAAAAAGAGAGTCCTATTTAGAATATCAGAGTTAAAACTTATTTCCTACATATAACCTGTTACTGTATACTTTACTGTGAATTGAGGTTAGATGTTAACTA